ACATCTCACGTTCAAAATCAAATCTTAAATATCTTGTGCATATATTTACATAGATTCTGGTTGAAAAGTAAACACTTTTGAGTAGAAGTTTTACATGCACTTTTTAGAATGTAGTAATAATGATTTTGAGTATTATATGAGAGAAAAAATTAAATAGCGGAATCTGAACTTTTTCCCCTGTGCGGCACGCCTTAACCATCTCCAATCAAATCCAAAGTTGCATATGTGATATCTTTGTTCGTGGTGCGACTGAAAACTCTCGTTCATTTGATTATATGGACCATCCTAGTGTACATATATTGAAACTCCGCCATCCATTAAACTTTAATTTCATATGCATAAGTACTTCCTGTCTCACGTGCCATCGTAAATACATAGTCAAAGGTCCCAAGACTAAAAGTTGTGGAAGGTAACTGCCGAGCTGAAGAGCTAGCCAAAGACTAGGACTACCCACGAGTGTAAAGCTTTCAGCCGTCACAGATTCGTACTACTTTCGAATACTACTGCAACAACTAATTTCTACCTTTTATCTATGCAAATCTATAAGTGATTATAATAAATGTTTTTTGCTTATTCAAAGAATTTATTCATAAACAAATGAAATCAAGGCGGAGTCAGCTTCTTAAACGTTGCATATAAGTAAGTTGTGTGAAAGGCCTAAACCCAACATCAGCGAACTTTCAAAGCTCTAAAAGTGTGGCTCACAAAAATTAGTTACCCTTTACGACATGATGTCTAATAGCTCCATCAGAATTCAGGAGAAATTATCCGAACCGTTCGATACCAAACGTGATTTCAGACAGGATGACTCTCTATCATGCGACTGCTCTCTACTCTGATGCTGAAGAAGATTATTATATAAGAACTGCAGAACTAGATTGCGCAGGTACAACATTTTCTAAGAGCGTACAGTTAAACTAGCATATGCCGAAGCACTAGGCTTGTTCTCCCTTTTCCTAGTTGGATCTGGCATCTAAGCGATTAGGTCTGGAGGTGAACACGAACAAAACGTAGTATCTCTGATCGTATAAAAATCACTCTCAATAAATTACAGACAATGAACACATCCGATCAGGCGGTACTAGCAGCGTACGAGAAAAGTATTTATTCTTCGGATGATCTATGGGCCTTTTCAAGTCGACGACGGCAGAGATTTGAACTGCATAATATTTACAACGAAATATATACGGACATATACATATTTAAATAGCGCAGTGGTTTACAATACAGCGGACACAAACGCTACAGCCCTGCTAGTTCGTAGCAGAAAAAGGGGGAAGAAACGAATGGCGTGCATTGCTGGACTCGGTGAAAATCGCATAGACGGTTACAACGCCAAACATGAAGAAAAGCATACTACGATAATCATAAATTCACCAAAAACCCCATATCCTACTTAAGTACCAACTCATTTTTGGATTTCCTTGGCATGCCACCTCAATTTTCGAATCATAAATTTGCCACGCTTCATTTAGCAAACAGTTTCAGCTGATTGTTTTTTAGTATTTTTTTTTTTTAGAGCTTGCAGCCTTTCATCTGAAACAGCTACGAATTGACAGCACAGCCGCCATCGTACGAATTCACGCAGTCATTCAAAACAACTTCCGCATATGATCACTTGAATGCCACAACTTGAGCTTTGAACTCAAAGCTCTGTTTCGTTGTTTCAGCGATAGCTTTATCTGCAATTGACTTTTGTTTGTTTTGATTTTACCTTTCTTTTTTTTTTGTGCTCTGCTTCTCTCTTTCACTTGCTACCGTTTTAATTTCTGCCCTTTTTGTGTATGTTTTCTTTACTTTAAAACATTTTTTTATCGCTCATCCACTGCTCTTCGAAAACAATTCGCTTGGCTTGCTAGAAACGCCACCTCGATTCATCGTTTCGTTTACTTGCCTTTCTTTTTTTTATTGTTCTCCTTTTCTGAGCTTGCTGCAGCTTTCATCACCACATTTGGCTGCTCGTTTAATGTTTTGTGCAACTTACGTGACTGCCGTAAACTGGCCATACTCACTGGTTGGTGATCTATTGATATGTAGCTGCCATATCATATAAGAAAGTAAGAGGCAAATGCATAAGTATACCGAATTTGACCTTCATCCGGTTTTTGGCACATATCCCCGAATTCTGCAAGAGCGTCATAACTCAAAAAATCCAAAATTCTTATAAAATCGATTTAATGTTTTTCGTCAGTGTGCCTAGAAAAAATATTTATAAAATAGCAATCAATGCAAAATACCCTGAGTATGCGAAGCATTGCTTTAGGAAAGCAGTGTTGATGGAAATACAAAGGGAAATTTCTCAAACATATACTTATTTTTTCATAAGGCCGTAAAGAGATATGAGTGAGAGATGACCAAGTAATCTTCTGCTTGATTATCGCTGGCCATTAGCTGCTCTTCTGTGCCAAACTATGCTTTTCAAGTTCTTCCCACTCACGTTCTCAAACCAATTTATCGCGGAAAGTACGCTTCCCTTTTCAACTCCCTAACTCCATTCCTCATAGCTCGCGTTGCGCCCAACCTCAGCACAGCCTTTTAGGCGGCATTTGCTTCGCATTCAGTTTTGTGACATTCCTCAAGGTTAGGTTAGGTTAGGTTAGGTTGCTTTATTCCTACGCATGATAGTTCCGTAAGAGAGCTAAAGAAGGGCCTACCTAAAAAGCCTGCTCTCCTCCTGGCCAGAGCTGGGCAGCTACAGAAGAAGTGCTCCACTGTTTCTTCCTCTTCCTCATCCCTGCAACTTCTACAATATTCGTGGGAGAATATTCCTAGTCTCGAAAAATGCCTGCCAAATAGCCAATGACCGGTAACACAAGCCATGACCCTTGCAATATCCTCTCTTGAGAGGCTGAGCAACTCTTTCGTCTTTTTCTTATCAATTTGTGGCCAAAGTAGCCTAGTTGTTCTACAAGTGCCCTCCTCTAGCCATGACCTGTTTGCCTCTTGGATCATGCTATTTTGAAGTTCTAATTTGCAGGTTGCCATGGGTATCCCAACTGTGCCCCTATTTTCACATAGAGGGAGATTGGTACATTTTTTTGGCTAGCTCGTCGGCCCTGCAATTTCCTTCAATATCTCTATGTCCCGGAACCCAAATGAGGTTGACCTTGAACACGGCGCTGATATCGTTTGGGGCTGCGAGACATTCCTGCGCAACCTTCGGTCTTAGCATTACCATGTTCAATTATTTAATGGCCGCCTGGCTGTCCGAGAAAATATTAATCGTGGTCCTCGTTCCGACATGCGTACTAAGGTACCTCTGCCTGATAAACACTGCAGTGGTCCGGAATTTGGACGTATAATTCTAGTCCTAGTTCCTTGGTGAAAACTCCATAGCCGACCCTATTATCTAGCTTGGATCCATCCGTATAAAAATTCAGTTCCCACCTTCTCCATGGTCTTGGTATTTGCCATTCTCTTCTTGACGGGAGGCTCGTCTTGAAGAGCCTATCGAAGGTTGGTTTAGGGGCGGAGTAGTCCACTTCTTGTTCGTGACTACCCAGAGTGTGACCTACAATGTTTAGGGACCCGACGTAGTCGATAAGCCTCATTTCGCTATGGAACGTTTCGTCGTAGAGGCTGTGAATGCTCCAACAGTGGAACCTGGCATTTAAATCTCCGAGCACGACTTTTATATAGCGACAAGGGTAGCTAGCGCTCGTCGATGCGCTCCAAGTGCTCATAGAAAAATTCTTTGATCGCCTCGTCTTTCCATTCTGCCAGAACGTTGGCGCAAATGAGCGAGACATTTAAGAGTTTTGACTTTGATATGGATTATAGCGTCACGGTCGTTCATCGGGGTGAGCAACACTACTTGGCGACGAAGTCTGCCCCACCACAATTTCGCTCCTTTAGATAGCACCTTTAGTATACCAAAGTCCGATGTTTGGTTCAAGTTTCCACCTTCCTTCAATTTGGTTCTTTGGCGGTGTTAGCAGTAAACTTTCGTATGCAATATGTTTCTTCGGGAAAATGTAACCCACCGGTGTTCGAAAAGGTATGTTTGCTTTGTCGCTTTATAGTTAAAAACAATTGTTTGATTATTGCATTATGTTTAAACAATGCCAGCTTTGCGATTCATTATAAAATTTTATTTATAAATAATTTTTAAATAGTATAAAAACTTTACATTTAAATAGACTTATGTAATACGTGCCCTTGCGGTCAGCCGATTAAGTCAAGTGACATTTTGAAAATTTTTTTATTGTATGCTGATTAAGTAAAGTGTAAAACTTTTATTAAAACAAATATATACATTAAATAAACGAAATAAAAATAGCCAAAACTAGTCAAAATGTCACTTGACCCTAATCAGTGACCACAAGTGTACATATCGATAAATAATTACAAAAATAAAAAATTATTAATAGTTTCAGCGTAATAAGTACATATAGCAGGTGGTGTTGTTGTAATACCCAGCTTAACTTCTTATCCGATAAGAAAATGTTTAGTTGGCTTGTAGGTCAGAAATGTGTGTACATGAACGTTTTGAACTCTGCCACAGTCAACGCACAAGCAAGCGCACTTGTAGGTGATCCATACAAATTGTTGAACAAGAGAAAAACTTAGGATAACTTAAGAAATAAACACTCGAAGCAGAAAGTAATACAACGAAAATATGTACCTATGTGCGTATGTTTACGCGTAAACTAAATTAAAAACTACATACATTACATAATCCACTAACCGCAAGTCATCTAAATATGCTAACACACTATATTAATAACAACAACAATAGCAGTCACACCCACCTAAAAGTAAAAGTAATAAAATACGCGCTTAATACTTATGACCATTGCCTCCTCCACCGCCGCCACTGCCTTTATGGCTTGAACTGCCAAATAATGAGGCCGAGGCGTGTGATGCGCCGCCGGAAGCACCCAACGAAGCATTCAATAGCAGACTGACAGACTACCGACAATATGCGAAGCGATATGCTTGATGAAGCCACCCGAATCGGAGCCACCGGCGCCGGCATCTTCCTTAGCCTTATTGCCGTGCGAATGCCATGAATCAGAGCGGCGCTCGTCGTCGCCCTCCTCGTCGGATTCCTTGCGATTTTTTGCTTCTACAAAACTGCTAATAAGATTGCGCGCAAATAGTAAAGGATTGGGACGCAAGTCATCATCATCGGGATCCTAGGGGAGAAAGGTTGTAGAGATTGCAGTATTTACGCCTTGAAATTATAATTTTTGAATTAAATGCTAAAGACTATGTTTATTGTGAAGGAAATGAGACTAGGTGCGTTATTGCGTGCGATTATTGCCTTTATCTATTTTCTAAGTATGAGGAGCATGAGTATTAAGTATGTAATTAATGAAGTTTCTAAATAAATTATTTAAAAATAGAGTAGAGTAATAAGTACTGCACTGAGTTGAGCGTAAACTGTGCCGAGCAGATTTCCTATAAATTGTCCATTATTCACCTGTAAGTGGAGGAGTTCGTCAAACATTTTTTAGATAAAAAAAAAAAATTAGATATTTACCGCTCCACCGCCGCCAGATAGACCATCAAATGCAGTGCCTATGTATATGCCCAGCACTGTGCCAAAGTTTTTGTTGCCCTGTAAGAAATTAATGCTCAACTTTATTCTAGTTTTTTTCAATAAAACTATTTATTGTTTTTTTTTTTTTTTTTAGTTTTAAGCAGCAATCAACGAAAAGCATATTAATGGCTTTCAGCTAAAATAATTTTTTAAAGGTTGTTCTCAGCTGCAAAAAAAAAAGCCAAAGTTAGACCTTCAAATCGGGCTGTTAAAATTTTTTTCCCAAAGTTTAGAAATCCTCCAAACTACTAATTTTCTGATTTTTATTTTTCAATAAGTGACAGAACTAGAGGCATTGTTTCATGTCAAATGATTGGAATCGACCATTTGGATTTCGGCTAACACTTTTCTTGTATCATATGACGAAGTGCTGCCAAAAGCAGAAAATTAAAAGTTTGGTTTCAAAAATTATGCAAACTGAAAAAAAAATTACAATTAAATAGATTTTCGAAGTTTATCTTTTTAAATATCACAAAAAGTGTTATATTTACAAAAATGGTGCTACTCTCGCTTTGAAGATGTTTACGGCTATAGAGACAAAAATATAAAATTTACAAAATTTTAAAATTAAAAAATTTTAAAAGCCAAAACTAACAAAATTTGTGGCTCAACTGGTCTTAAAATATCGCAAACTTTTCAAGTGTTTTTTTAATATATGGGCATTCCCATGGTGGCGCACGTGACAGTCGTACGATTT